CCATTCTTTATGGAAAGTTCAGGAGATGTCAGTTCAGCTTAGGACAACCCTGAGGACATGTGTGAGGGCCACGCAGCATTAAACTACTCACCTTCTCATTTCTAGCTGTCATCTTGTCAACTAGGATTCCAGCTGACACATCAAACCACTGAAACTATTCAATGTTTCCTGGTAGATTTCATTGCCATTAAGATTCTTTCTCTTTTAAAAGAATATTCTTTCTAAACTAAAATATTCCTGCCTAATAATATGATGAGGATGTATTCAAAACTGAAAAGAGGGCAAGAAGTATGCATAGAATAACATCTGTGAATAACTGGACACTTCTAGATGTGAATGTAATAATACTTTATACAGACACTTCTGTGGACATCAATTAGAAAATCAATGCATAGGGAACTAGCAGGTTTGAAGCAATCTAGCATTTGCCTTTGAGTTTTGCTATTTGTACAGCAAAGGACTTAGAACCACCTTCCAGATATTCTTTCCATAATATGTTATTCCAAACTGTGGTGTCCTGTCACCTCACTTCTTGGTCTATATTGAGTTTGATCTATGAGAATGAAAGACTGTAAGAATGTTCTCAGAAGGAAAAGCTCTTGACTTCACCTGAAACCAGGGGGAGCTGAGAATCCTGACATTCTCATTTATTTTTTCCATGAAGGTAAGAAAATGCTGATCCTTGTAATCAAAACGATTCTGGAAAATAACCGAGCAGATGACATTGCATGGAGCACAGCTCAGGATGAAGGTGGGATCACAGGGTGAGCCTGGATAATTAGAAACAATTAGAAAAATATCGTTAAAATATAAAAAGACATTTTGTTTTTGTTAACAGGGAAAGAGTCTGTATAAGTTTTAAACCATACCTAATTACAATTTTACTAACAGCTAAGCATTTGTTATATATAGAAGTAAAATATCTCTTTAAACTTAGCCTTGAGGGGGCTCAAACTCAATACTTAAATAAGAATAGATCAAATCTGTTACACAAATTTTTATACCTTTATCTACCTGATACTTGAAATAAAATAAAAGATTTTATAAACCTAAAATTTATAGTTTTCAGAACAGAATTGTGTGGTGGTATTGTGTTCCCCAAAATATTGTGTATCCTAATAAACTTATCTGGGGTCAGAGAACAGGACAGCCACAACATTAAACATGAGGATAGGCAGTGGTAGCACACGCCCTTAAACCTAGCATTCTAGAGGCAGAAATCCATTTGTTCAAGGATACAGCCAAGAATGGTGACACACACCTTTAATCCCAGGGAGTGGTGGTAGAAAGCAGAAAGATATATAAGGCGTGAGGACCAGGAACTAGAAGCATTTGGGTGGCTAAGCTTTTAGCTGGTTAAGCTTCAGGCTTTTGAGCAGCAATTCAGCTGAGCCCATAGAAGCTTCCAGTCTGAGGAAACAAGACCAGCTGAGAAGTTGGCCAGGTGAGGTTAGCTGTGGCTTGTTCTGTCTCTCTGACCATCCAGCATTTCACCCCAATAACTGACCTCAGGTTTGATTTTATTAATAAGAACTGTGAAGATTCCTG